ACAATAATAAATTTAATATAATAAGATAATCTTTAGTAAAACTGATCAACACTTCAATACAAATAACAGAATAAAATCGCAGATGGACAGATGGACAAATAAAAAGAAGTATCTTAAATAAATTATCTTATAATTATTACATTTTTTATATATATAGTACAATTTATTTAAACATTTTCAGTATACAGAATCTTGACTTCAACATGTAACAATATATCACAAATAAAAAAATATGTATAAAATTTATTTTACACAAAATTACACATGGGCGTTATTTTAAATATAAAAGTTAGTAGATCGCAATCGTTTCTGCGTCGGCTCCAGCAAGAACCATAGCTTCCAGATCGTTCCTGGAGCAACCAGAAAACCTCCCTCTTCTCGGCAAGACACGACACGACGCGATCTGTCGATACGTCCGGGAAATACTTGATGCGGAATACTACTCAGTGCTTCGAATGTCTCGCGGCCCCCCGCCCGACTCGCGCACTGCAAAGGTGCCCCCCGGCTTTTTTCCAGTATGAATGATGATGTATGGATGCTGGCTGGGCACCGGGGGCTCGGTAAAGGGTTCCATTGTTGCGCCCTCCCTTGGAGAACGGAACCCACTCGCCCCGCAGGGGAGAGACCTTCGTGAAATATTACTGCCGAGCAACAAACTGCATTCTGCAGGCTGTATACTGTTAATTTTATGCCCGATTTTTTGCCCACTCCATCTAGCCTGCCCTCTCACCCCGCCAGCAACCACCCCTCGATGCTGCTATACGGACGAGAGTCCGTGATCGAAGCGTACCGATATTGTGATAATAAATATTCATCGGATCATTCTCGGACATCACACACGAGCGCGAGACGGAGACACGCGAGATCGCTTCTGTCCTCCGGCCGATCCGCTCCTCAAAATCGCGTCCGTATCGAATTCTTGTCAAATCTTCAATCTCCTCGTTGCAATAAATATATACTCTCAAAAGAACTTGGCGAATTTCAATATATTGCGGGCGCGTATAAGTAATCAGGTATTACAAAATAAAACAGATTTACAAGTCTATAAACGCAATTTTTATTTTGTCACCGTTATGATAAAATAAGTATTTCCCTTACAAATTTCAACACGGTTTTAATAAATATAAGAATTTAGCAAGTAATTCAGTTTTCGTTCGAAAAATCCCTTTAATTTACACGAGAGAAAAGCGAGTGCTATTACGCTCGTCTGTATTAATTATTGCGCGTAATGCGGGACGAGCGCCTCGCGATCCGCGAGGAAAACAATACGAGATCACAATTAGTAGGTCCCTCGGTAATCGGATCCCTCGAATCGTGGATGCACCGCGAGCGCGCGTGCACTCTCGTTCCCCCATGCAGATTCGATCGGACACGGTTTTAGAAATTCGCCTTGGCCCTTCTCGTGCGCCAACAATGCCCTTCGAGTCCGCCGACAATGGGAAATAATAAACCGTGATAAATAGCTGAGCAAATACGCGGTGCGATCGCGAAGCTGATCTCGTACCGTATCTCTCCGTCTCTGGCTTACTCTCTCTCTCTCTCTCTCTCTCTCTCTCTCCTCGACCCCGCTGTTCCCCGAGTCGACTCCAGGTGCGGCCGCTCGAATTCCAAAATAAATACCCTCGCCAAATAGCCAGCCGGTGTGACCCGGGAAAAACAAATAGCCGTTATTAATTTCCCAACGTCGGAAGCAACCGGTCGGTCTCGATTTAGCGATGCGACGAGCGAGATGTCGCGGAGATCCTCATCGGTAAGAATCACGGTGGGTAATCGAGTTCCGAGACTGAAATCCGCTCGTCGTGTGTCGACGGAGAAGAAAATACGGCGGACTTTTCGGGCGCGTTTGAATCGAGCCGTGCGACGGGAGGGTGAGACGCGTCCGTGACGAGACGGCAGTTTCGGAGGGAAGTAACTTGAAGAGGCAGCACTAATCAAAAGTGGTCCGCGGAGACAGATTGAAGGGCGTGCGCGAAATAAATCAGTCTTTTGTTTTACAGCTCTAAAACGGCCGTTGGGGAGGATATATACAGCGCGAAGTGACGTCTATTCATTAAAGCACCCCAGCTGCGAGATCGAAAAGGCTCCCGGCACCGATTCAACGGCTCCGTTGCAGCGCGCGATTAAACAATCAGACATTGTGCGAGCGCCGTTATTTACGAGGTGAGCTTATTTATTATTATTATTATTATCATGCGCGGCATGCGAATTTTATCGCGCGCAAATTGCGGCGTGTCGCGCCCGGCCGATGTTGCGCCCAGACCGCAGCAACTCGAGAAAGGGGGTCGGGGACAATTATTTTCAGAGAGAGAAACGGTTTAATGACCGAAAACATCACCTTGCCAGGAAGGCTACAACGAGCGAGCAACGGATGATCTCTCGGAAAGTCTGTCGGCAGAAAAATCGATCTCAAGTTAACGAAATTATACATCGCCGGGATTCAAAAATCGAGCGTCGTAAACTCCGCATTTGATTTTTCCTCGAGTTGAAACGCACGAAAGAAAAATCTCGTGCAAGGTAATAAAATTTCAGTTGTATTATGTGGATAGCTAATTCTTTTCTCCGTGCCTTTTTCTTTCAGTACAGGTATAACGTAGTGCGTTATACCTGAAAAGTAAAAATTTCAAATTTAGTTACCTGGTGTTTTTCTTTCATTGCAGAACATTAATCATGTAAACATGAATGGAAAAGTTAAAATGAAGCGCTTTTAAATTAAAACATTTATTCTTTTCACAAATTCACGTTAAAGGAAAAACTTTATGACCAAATTAGGGACGATCATAAACCTTCTCCTTTAACGTGAATTCGTGAAAAGAGTAAATTTTTTAATTTGAAAACATTTCACTTTTCATTGTTCACATTTCCGTCTACGTGATTGATAACCTACACTGAATAAAGGGACCAGGTCCGATAACAATATTTCAGTCGTAATATATGGGCAGCTATTTTTTCCCCATCCTTTCTTCTTTCACTTGCAGATATAACACACAATACACTTTTTACGACACCGTCGCAAAACATTACAGAAAACAGACCTGCTGAGTTCACTCACCGTCGGTCGTTTTTAGCCATTTCAACAGATTTTGAACGAGGCCGAGTGTTCAGGCGAATATACGTTTTCGCATTGCGCTAACCGAGATATCGTTTCCCGTCACCGAATTCTCGACCGGTCCCCGAATTCGGTCGCACAAACTGAGATCTCTTTCCGTGCGCGACATTGCACGAGATATTTTTCGTACTTTCGAGCTCATGCCGCTCCGCGTCACTTATCGCCGCGCTAAAAGCGCGGGCCCCGTTACGAAAAGTAACGATAACGAATTGACGATAACGTATCGGGAGGTATGCGAATGTCGGTTAGTGCATGGGAAAGAGACGCTTCTCGACGGAATGCACTCTGACACTCTGCATCCCGCAGATACGGCTTGTCCGCGATGAACTCGTCCGACGTCGTTACTTTTCAGCCAGCCCGTCGCGGGAATAGTTATCACGAGCGCCGCGAATAGATCGAATTGCCATCGCAATCGTCCCGCAGTTTTCCCGGTTGCGATGCTACCAGCGCGAAAAGCAGCCGCGATCACTCGACAGTGGTTGGTGCAACATCGTCGATAACGACAGTCACGCGTCACTGTAGGACGGGATTCGGCGGAAAAGTCTGCGGGCGATAAATCACTCGTCGTATTTACGTTAATTAAATCCGCTTCGGTTACTTTTATCGCGCCGATAAGACCGAGTCGGGGGTTACCACTCGCCAGTTATCTCGAATTTACATGAGAGACATAAATCTTTCGAAAGTATTTTCGGGATAATCGTTACAATGAGAGGCGACTTGACTTCTACCGTTAATCGCGACAAAAAAAAAAAGACGAGTGCGTTCGGGTAATAATCGCAACTTTGTTTCACGCGATACGCGATAATCAGTTCGTTAGTATGCTCGTTCGCGCTCGGACGAATGAATCGTACGCAGGTTGGACGCGATTTGCGAAAATTCATAAAGAGGAATGCAAGTTTTCCAACAGGGGGGGAGGGCAGTCGCGTAATTCAGCCTCGCAATCGCGTGCTTAAGTCGCGATTGTTGCTTGGGTAACGTAAAGTACGACTAAAAATAGCGCACAGTTATAATTTAAGCGTCGTTAATGAGATCTTATGAATCATACGCGTTATATATAGAAGATAACACATCAATCGTACCTCTGCCATAACTCACATACGTCCGACTCTTCCAATGAAGAGCTCCGTATCAGTCCAAAAAGAATATCAGAGGATTCGATCTCTCGAATGCGACGAAAACCTCGAATTTCCATCCGTCACGATTGCGCCGACCGTTGGTGAAATAATCGCGTTATTCATTAGTTTCAATCTTTTTTTAAATTATTATTGTAGTTTTCAAATTTCGGGATGAATAGTTTCTGCGCGGATTTCTTCGGTTTCTGTTCCGATAAGGAAAATTCGTTTAGAAAAATTCACGTATGTTCGGTTAAAACCTGCCGCATTAATTTTTTTCCGCAAAGAAGGTAAGAAACGACTACGAAATTTGCGGAAAAATTAAAAAAAGAAAACCATTTCTTCCGATACTTTAAAACTATAATTATAACTTAATAATTATAATTTAATTATCATTTAACGAAGTATCATTAATAACGAAGACGACAGAAATGAAAGGCTCGTACGCGAACGTGGGAACTTGACGCTCTCTTTGACGCGAAAGGAGAGTTCGTTTTCGCGCCTCATTTCGCCACGTCGTATAATCGCTTATTATTTTCGCATTTCCCTCAAGGTGGATCTCGCCTCCCGACGAAAGACCGGCGACGTGGCGGAGTCCTAGCGTGACGAGCGTGTGCAGGATGAAGAAGTGCCGATAAAGTATAATTATTGCGCGGGCGCGGGTCAATAGTCCGCCACGTTGCCTGGCGACGGTATTCCTACTCTGAGCCTCCGGAACAACCGGCGCGAAGTGCTCCTCTTCCTTCTGCGGCTGCTCCAGACTCCGGACGGAGGCTGGCCAGTCTACCGCACAGCGCTACGAGGAAGAACGCTTCCGACCAGATCTTGTCTTCCAATTCTACCGCAGCGGACTTCTCACGTCATCGTCGTCGTCGCCGCCGTCGTCGTTTCCTTTCGCCCGGGCAGCCCAGCTAAGTACGACTTCCGTTTGCTTCTCTCGATCCGCCCGGAATCTCCAAGCACTCTCGACGTCGCAGATTAAGATTTTCGCGGGAGACGTCACACCCGATGAAATATTTGCCATCTTGCGAACACGGAAAGGTGCGACGATTTCCGCGCTTCGCGTGCACCTCGGACGGTGCGCTTTCTCAAAAGCGCGACTGCACCGCGGGCTTTTGAAGTGCGACGCGCCGTTGTTTTCATTTTTTTCTAATTGATCGTCGAGAAACAATTAATTGAAGGTCCGTTTTACCGCAGAACCCGCGGAAAATCGAAAACGGTGCTATGTGGCGGAGAAAAGACGAGTCGGCGAAAAACGCGACTATGTCGACGGACAAAGGATCAGCAAACATCGCGAGGACCGCAGTTAGACGGTGGTCATCGTGGATACCGTCGTTCAACGACAGCTTCGAGAAGCTCTGCGGCTGCAAAGTGAGCGATGTGTCGAGCTTCGAGAAGTTCACGCGGTTCCTCTACCGCCCGACCGACCCGGCCAGTTTGGGAGTGGCCAGAGCTCTGTTTGGTAAATAAAAATTCGGATATTTCTATCGTAATATTGGCGGTGATTTTTAAACCGGCAGCCTTCCACGACAGAGGTGTACGATGTGAATATTTGCCAGAACATCAGCGCCACTAATTACGCGATTAACAAGCAATTCGTTTCCATCCATTGATTGACTTGAATTATAATTAAAATTGGAAATTAGAAATCAGAAAGTGTGGAAATGAGAAATCGAGAGACACAGGAAGTTTTCGAATTACTTCATAATCGCTGTTTTGTTGATGCTTGAGGCGATTAGTGTCTTTTTTCAATTGATAAAACGATTTAAGAGAGCATTCCGCAAATCTGCGCGCAGACTCGTCCCGCTGGTAACATACAATTTAATCCTACTTGCTGCAACACTTTATAAGCGGGGAGTGGAGAATTTGAATCGTAATAACTAGACACAATTTAAGACCTATTAAAGCGGTCATGAGGATTAATGGCTTGAGCCAATGAAAGTACGACTGTGATTCTATGTCGCTCGTAGAAAAAGTGGAGCCCGACGCTCGCACAGTGTTCCCCTTCGTTTAATAACGCCTATCTTAATTATGTCTTGTCTTCCAACATTGTTGAACGTTGGGATTAAATCCGATTCTAACTACGGAGGTGGATGTTTCTTGCAATTACATTCGATTTAAGTGCAACCCGAGTCGCAATTTCACTCGATCACTCCAAGTCGGTAAGAAGTTTTTCATCCGATAAAAAATCTGTACAGTTCCTTCTCTCGGGATTGTCCGGAAAATTTTTCAAAATTATAATCGTTTTAATGTTTCACACATAAATAATAAGAAGTTACATTGTTGTTGCCTCATCTATCGATAGCATTCTTTTGTGAGTACTCTGTAGTATTGTTTACTTTTCTTTCTTTCTTTGGTGCTCCATAAAGTTGTTATTATTATTATTATCGTAAATTTCTTATTTATTATATTTATTATATTTATATACATACACTTATATTAGTAATATTTATTACTGATTTTATATTTTTTTTATTACCAGTTTGCACAATATCGTAGATTTTAACGATCAGACGATATTTGGCATTTCTTCTCGTAGGTCTGTGCATGGTGATAGACGTCGTTGAAGAAAGAGGATTCGCCAACATCGACATCAAATGGGGCGACCCGTGGGAATGTCATTTCCCGTTGATCCACGGAATGAAACCACTGTCATTGCCGTGGATGATAATCCTGTACACGGTGATGTGGATGGGTGCCTTCGGGATCGCGCTCGGTTGGCGCTTCAAGCTCTCGTGCGCCTGCTTCACCCTGCCTTACTGGTACATCTTCCTGTTGGACAAGAGTTACTGGAACAATCATACCTACCTGTACGGCCTCGTGGCGATCTTGTTCTGGGGCACCGGGTCGGACAAGTACCTGTAAGTTGAAATTTGCGGGAAACGCCTGAGAGACAGAGAGAAGGAGAAAGTCGATCGTGATTGAATATTAATTTATTCGCGTTTCCGCAGCGCATTGGACGCGAGCAAAGCAAGACGGCACGGCGACTGCGTGCCCTACTGGAATTATTTTATCCTGAAGTTTCAGTTTTTTGCGCTTTACTTCTTGGCTGGCCTGAAAAAGTCCAGCCGGGAGTGGCTCGAAGGCTACTCCATGACGAATCTATCCAGACACTGGGTCTTCTATCCTTTCCAGTAAGCACGGCACGATGACAGAAAGCGCATATAAAATTACATGTTGTAATGAATGCGCAAAAAGAAAATTATCTTCTATAGATTCTCGGCTTGAAATTAATTCTGCAACGTGATGGCTGCTCGACTCAAATTCAGAGGCGACATTTGGCTAGTCGTATGAACGCGAAGAAATTTTATCTCCATAAAGAAATTACAAATTAGAATAATAATATACTTAAATAAAAGCCAGAGATATTTTTCTCATTTACTTCACATATATGTATTGAATATGTCGCCGGTAGTGCAATCAACGTGTTACACTGAGAAAGATTTTTCCCAAATAACAAAATATACATTCTCTTAAATTCGTAACTTTTCATAAAAATTATGTATTCTATTTAAATAAAAAAAATTTTAATTTAAGTGAATGCTATTAGTACCCACCGAAGAAATATTTTTGTAATTGTAAAGTAAACTGTAGTTTCGTAAAATAATAATAACGCTTCTCCTCTTGCAGTTTCTTTCTGACCACCGAGCAGACGGATTTTTTGATCGTCCACTGGTTCGCCTTCATCTTCGACTTGTCTGTCGGGTTTTGGATGTTGCTCGAGAAAACACGAATACCAGCCATGGTAGTGTGCACAGCTTTTCACTTAATGAACACGAGGCTATTTAGTATAGGTAACTAGCACTCGAAATAAACAGTCGACAAGACTGTTAATCAGCCGCATTAATCAACCGCGAAAAACACAATCGGGGATTCCTCGTATCGTCATTCGAGTGGGATTCAGGAAGGGCGAAGATGTTTCACGAAGAACGCGCTTCCAGGGATGTTCCCGTACGTGTGTCTAGCGACAATGCCGCTGTTTTGCCGCACGGACTGGCCGCGTAAATTAGGCCTTTATTTCATTTGGCGGCGGGAGGTTTCCGCTGCTGACGTCAATCCGATCCACGTGGATAGCGCGAAAGCGAACGATGATCAAACGGAAGAACTCCCGAAGTCCGACAGCTCCGTGTCGTCTTCGAGTGAAATCTTGGACGACCGAACGACACACGAAGGTGAGCGACAATTTCCTTTCATCTGATGATATCACTTTCGCTGCATGATGGACGGAAGTTCCGTTTGCAGAAAGGAAAGAGAGAAACCGAGATTATTTTACCGAGACGGAATCTAAGGAAGAAATCAACGAAGGTGACAGCGGTAACAAGCAGTTACTTGAAAATACGATCGAGCCTAGTGAAGAGGAAGCCGTGAACGTTCGCGAAAAAATTCCAAGGATTCGACGAGCAACGAAAGTTACGAAGAAGCAGAAGTTCGTGGTGTCCGTATTGCTGTGTCACATCGCCCTGCAATTCTTCCTGCCGTATTCGCATTTTATATCGAAGGTATCGTAATCGCTAACTTTACGTTGCCTGCTAATTATTATTATATACTGTAAGATCATATATAGGGAAGAGTTGTCAAAATCATACCAGTCACTTAAATCGTACCTCATCATTTTTTTTGGTGTAATTATTGGACATAAACAATCCACTAAAAAATATATTACATAAAAACACGCGTAAGAAAAATAATCAAAACTTGAATGGATCGCATTATGTGTTTTCTGTGTGATATAAACACTTTATTAATTCCTTGAGTTAGGTGTATATACTTGAAATATTTTTAAGTCAAGGCTGCCGCTGGTTTGCACCTTTCCATGATTACCACCGACTGCTATTCCCATTTCTCTTGTTTTATAGCATTTAGGGCAAGTTCCACATAACGCTCACAATGAGCGAGCGTCATTCTATCTCTTGGTCTATTCTTCACAGCTGAATTGACTGCACCCACTTCAAGAAATTTACATATACATTGAAGCATATGAAACGTACGTACAAGATTCTCACGCTTCAGTGTGTAATTTTCTTGAACTAGTGCAGCCAGTTCAGTTATAAAGAACAGACCAATTGTTTCAGCGTGTGGGGCGATATTTATCAAACCAGATTTCAAGCTAATATCATCCCTGAAATCGAGCATCTTACGTCTCCGAAAGGAGTTTAAATGCTATGAAATGAGATGAATGGGAACGGCAGTCGGCGGTAACCATGGAAACTACGGAAAAGCGCAAAGTTGACGACAGCCCTGTTTTAAATAATATGATTTTGCTAGCTCGCGTCTACCTAATGAATTAAGACTATTGCATTTTTAAAAATTACATATTTTGAAATACATACCTTCAAATTGTTATATTTTTATTTTATTTCCTAATTTTCGCATTTGCAATCGTATATATTTCAGGGTTACAACAATTGGGTGCCAGGATTATATGGTTATTCTTGGGACATGATGGTCCACGCGTGGGACACCGTGCTCGTGGTCATCAAGGTGCACGACAACGTGAACAACCAGGTTCGGTACCTGGACCCTGAAGCGTGGGCGCAGAACGACCGATGGGTGAGACATGCGGACATGGCGATGCAGTATGCGCAATGTATGAAGGTAAGATTTCGACAATCCGAATGGACCGCGAAACTAGCAACAATTACACTCTGTCGTTTTATTTATTTAACTGTGTTGTGCAAGAAACGTCGATACATTAGATGTGTATATCTCATCCTAATTGAACTTATCAAAAGGTTCCCGACAGTTCACCGGATTTTCAGCCGCATTTCTTCTATTAATCGCTTCTCTCAGGTTTATCCCCATCTCGACGGGGAGTTGAATGCTTGAATGCTTGTCTGCCGCCATCTAGACAGAGAATGTGAGAATCAATCTTAAAATTATATCAGTTCGTTTATGTAATTTTTCAGGATAATCTGATGCGTCGGAAGGAAGAAGCGTTGAGCGACAGTCGGCATACCGAGGAGAAGCAGATGTGGATGAAGCTGTCTACGAATCTCAGCATCTACATAGACGTGTGGTGTTCGCTGAACGGCAGATTTCAACAGAGAGTATTCGATCCGTACGTCGACATGCTGACGGTCGACTGGCATCCCTTCAAGCCGGTCTCGTACCTGATGCCTTTACTCAGGCAGTACAGTTCGTATCGGTATGTCTCCAAGAACTACGCTTCGCTTATATTCGCCCAGTTAATAATTAATTAATTAGTAATAATTAACGATCTTTGGCTTCTTTGACCAAACATCGGAACTTTTAAATCAGATTTCGACCGGCATATAGTTTATCTCCTCGAAATGAGTCACTCTAATTGTTTGTCGATGGCTTCAGGTATGAAATGGAAAAGATCCTCCAGCACGTGTATACCTGGTCGAATTACACGGACGTGTTGTTCGTGGCCGATTTTCCCGGCATGCATCTGGAAAACTACATATCCACCGACTTTACCAACGTCTCTTTGACCGTGCTGGAGGGCGAGGTGACTTACATCGACGAGAATTCGCCGGACGCGATCTCCGTACTGAAGGGTGTTTCGATACCGGTGAAAGCGGGAATATTTCACCAAGTAAAGACGACAAGCTCGTATCCAGCCTGTTACATGTACACCTACACCAATCAGACAGGAACACCGTCAGACAACGAAAGGTGAAGACATGCGTCACTTTCGTGAATTTCGCTGCACATTCTTGCGCGGCTTTTCAAGAGGGAAGAAATAATAGAAGTCGAAAATTAAATAGAAATTATCTTCTTATGTTTCATTTACTCAAAATGAGTGTATCACCGGTGATTTTTTCAGAAGAACGCCTCCTGCGGTTATAAACGACGCGCTGCCGCTGTTGAAAGAAGTCAATTATAAAATCATTGCGTGGACCAGAGCGCTCTCTCACATAACAAATACTTTCTTTCACTTGGTATACGACGTTCCCATGGTTCGACGAGTACGCATCAACAAATAACAAGCCGTTTAAGTCTTTTCATCGAACGAGAGGTTTTAATACAATTAACGAGAGGTGGAGATTGTGTATCTTATCGGCGCACTCTTTAATTTCATTTAATAGAATTTCCTTCGAACCTTTCATTTGCCTTTTAAAAAGAATTGAAGTATGTTATATTCAATCGCCTTTATATAAGTTTATGTACATTTTATTAAGCACCATTCGCGAAAGAAAGCCAGAGATATAAGATGAACTATAAAACACTTTTCAAACGATCGATGACATTAGCTTTAAATAATCGTAAAAATACATGCACCTATAAATATATGAACACATGTGTAGAGCACACATGATACATATTGTTATTACCGATAAATAATAAAGCAAAATTATTTTTATTATTTTTCTATATTATACTATACAAACGTGTGATATGTAAAATCTAGCGATTCATACAAATCTCATTATGAATCACATTGTGATAAGCTGTAATCGTAACTTGTTAATCCTAATGGGAGAACTGCTAATCTGACGTCCAATTAGTTACAACGTGTGATTCAATAGTGAGTTAGTTTAAAAGTAAACTGTTACATATTTTACATACTATTTTGAAAAAAAT